AGACAAGGTGTATCAGGATATGAAGCGGCAGTTTTGGTGGGCAGGTATGAAGAGGGACATTGCTCTGTTTGTTTCTCAGTGTAGTACTTATCAGATGGTTAAGAATGATCATCAGAGGCCACCAGGAGCTCTACAACTACTACCGATACCGGAGTGGAAATGGGAGAGCATTTTTATGGACTTTGTGGAGGGATTGCCCACTTCTTTCAAGGGTCACAATTCCATTTGGGTCATCGTGGATAGGTTGACCAAATCAGCTCATTTCCAACTTATTCGCACTGACTTCACTTCAGAGCAGTTGGCGAGGCTTTACATTTCAGAGATTGTAAAGCTACATAGTGTTCCATTGTCTATTATATCGGACAAGGATTCGAACTTTTTGTCTGGATTTTGGAAGAGCTTTCAGCAGGCTTTAGGTACAGAATTGCATCTTAGCACTACTTATCATCCTCAGACTGATGGATAGACTGAGAAGGTGAATCAAATTATGGAAGATATGCTTCGGTCGTATGTTTTTGATATCAAGGGCCATTGGGAGGATTATTTGCCGCTTGTGGAGTTTGCTTACAATAATAGTTTCCAGAAGACTATTGGTATGGCACCATTTGAGGCATTATACGGTCGACCGTGTCGATCGCCTGTTTGTTGGATGGAGGTTGGAAAGAGCAGATTCTTGGGTCCTGAGTTTATTAAGGATACTTCTGAGAAGATTGCTCTTATTCGGGATCGCATGCGTACTGCTCAGAGTAAGCAAAAGAGTTATGTTGATCGGCGTACTCGTGCTTTGGAGTTTAGGGTTAGAGATCAGGTTTTACTCAAAGTGTTGCCTATGAAAGGTGTTATGCGCTTTGGGAAGAAAGGTAAGTTGTCACCGCGGTTTGTCGGTCCATTTATAATCACGGATCACGTTAGAGCTGTTGCTTATAGATTATCACTTCCGGATACTTTAGATCGCGTTCACAATGTGTTCCATGTTTCCATGTTGCGGAAATTTCTACGAGATAAGAATCGGTATCAGCATCTCAATATTGGGGAGATTGAGTTACAGCCGGATGCGACTTATTTAGAGCCACCGTGTCGTATTGTTGACCGTCGGGATCAAATCCTTCGTAATAAGGTTATCCCTTTGGTTCGTGTTCAGTGGACTAATCACAATGAGGCTGAGTCTACTTGGGAATGGAAGGATGTCATTCGCTCGTAGTTTCCTGAATTATGCGAAGAAGGTAAGAGCGAATTCTGAGGTCGGAATTCCTTTTGTTAAGGGAGAAGAATGTAATACCCCTAATTTAAAAGGATAAACCTAGAATTTATTTTATTGTTTAAGTTGCGTTTTATTTATTTAATGGTGAATTTCTTTTTATTTAATTGTGAATTAATTGTAAATTGTTTGATTTGTTTTAATTGAATTTTAAATTATTTAATTGTTTATTTGAATTGCTTGTTACTTATTTAATTGTGTGTTTAAGTTACATGACTTGTTTAATTTAATTAAATTATTTGATTTGTTTGCATTATGTTTTCTTTAGTAAAATTTATTGTTTTCCTTTAATTGAATTGATTATTAAATGTTTTAATTAATTATTAGTTATGAAAATATAATTAGGGTTTTTGCTTTTAGAAGTCACGTATGTAGCCGACGCAGGTTTTAATTAAGTTTTCTCTAGGCCAATTAGGATTCTGTTAGGGCTTGAATTAATTTAGGTTTTGTATAACTCTATAAATAAACTTAATAAAGTTAGGCCTAGGGTTTTAGAACCCTATTCATGTCTGTGGAGGTAGAGAAAGAACATAGGAGGGATTTCAGTAGGAATCGCCGGAACTTTTGAAGACTATGTAGAGATTTTGAACAAAAGTCTCAAAGGCAAATTCTAATCCTAGTTCTTTTCCTTTGGCTCGTGTTCTTTGCACGTCTAATACAACTCCGGGGGAAGATGAAACACTAAAAATTGAACTAGTTCGCATGTTTGTATGTTTTTCTAGCAGTATGTGTTTTATGAACTGTTATTTGCTTGTTTTAATTTCCCTGCTTATCCCATGGTTTAATTGATGATAGATGATGATTAAAACCTTTAAATTAGTTCTGGAACACCTTGGGGAAAATATTAAACTGAATATAGTTCGCGTGGGTGATCACTTGAACAACACATTCATGAATGGAAAATTATCCCGGTTTAAATTCTTTATGTCACAATTCATGTTTAATTGATATCGTTAATTGAATAAGGAATTAAAATATTTCTTAATCACGCTGGAATCTAATTTAAACATTTAGGAACCCTAAGGATAAAGGTCAGTTCATTAGAAACTCACCGGAATTGAAAACAATGATGACACATGAAGAGAGACGGCTCAAAGTTTAAAGAGCAGGCTCTTTGGAAACAAAGAGCAAGCTCTTAAAAGCAAAGACCAGGCTCTTAGGGGACTTGGAGCCGGCTCCTAGCAAAGAAGAGCAGGCTCTTTCAGTTGGGTTCCAGTTTTGGTTTTTCTGCAACCTGTTTAGCTACGGAACTTGGATTTTGGGATTTTCAAGATTATGGAGGAAGCTATAATTGGGTATTTTGAGGTGTTCTGAGTCTTATTAACCCTTCAAAGATTGGATTAACGAAAAATAAATCAACGGATGCTCGGGCTTGAACCGTAGACAATTATTTTTTAAACTAGTTTATTGTTTTTGGATGGAAAGGATTTTTAAATTTCTTAAAATCTTAAATAGAAATTCTTTGAGTAAATTTCTCTGTTAATCAGGTTCTTGTGATATTAAATAAGTGTGTGAATATTTATATTATAATAGGCTTATTTGGAATTAAAGCGGTTTACTGTTTCTGGATGGATAGTACTTTAAATTGTTTAAATCTTAGGATAACAATTCTTAGTAATGCTTTGACAGTTAATTGTGTTACAGTGTTATAAAACTAAGCATGTGAACTCTTATATTCTGTTATGCTTGCTTGGAGGTAATTAGTTTACATGTATAATCTGTAAAATCAATTAATGTATTGTGCGAAGTGGTTTTGATCAAGACTGTTAATTTACGAAATTTTAGCAGGCTTGATATGGAACAATTGATACTTATGTTTTAATATTTCTATTATCAATTGTGGATTTTATAGATTAGTTGATTGTTATAATTGTTATTTGTTCTATCAACTGCTGGATGGATTGGATTGTATGCATCGGTATGGGACGGTAACATACTAGGTTTGGATTAGCCCAAAGTGCTAAATCCTACCTATTTTGGCATAAGGGTACAGATTATAAAAACATAATTCTCCTTATATTTAAGTCTATGCGGTTGAATAAGCTGAACGACTTACTGGATCTCTTATATAAGTCTGTGCGGTTGAATAAGCTGAAAGACTTACTGGATTTCCTATGGATGGATAGGAACGGATTTTAAATATATTATTATGATACCGTGACTTGAGCTTGAGTCTCAGAGTCAACGGTTAGGGAGCTTATATGCAATAGGACGCGTAGCTGGCTATGCTGGTTGAGGTGTACCCTGTTAGACTTAGGTAGTCATACCCACTCAGGTGCGTTTTGCATGTTACCTTCTACTCAGGTTGAGACCCGTATCATAGTCCAGTGAGAGTCCATAGGGTGGATATATATATATATATATATAGACACGGATTATATAGTTATTGTTGAGTTGGTTAGAGTGTATATGCGTATCGAGTCTCTACTTAGATTGTAGTAGGATAAAACTTGTTCGTGGGGTTGACCCACTCCTATTTTTCAGGTGTACGTCAGTTCCAGGGTTGAGCTTGTTCATGCTGAGTAGAGGCGACCACTCATTCTTCCGACGACATAGGAGCTCTATTCATATGGTTTTCTTTTAGTTTTTCAGTTTAGTTTGATTTTCTTATTAGGGGTCCACAGGATGGATTCCCGAGTTGTATCCTTAGAGGTTTTGGAGTTGGATTATTATTATCTAGGATTTTAAGTATTTAATTTTAAAAGATTTTATATTTTAGATTTCTTTCAGCTTAAACTATTATTTCTTAAATTCATCTTGCATTCTGTGTTCACTTTAAAATATTAATTGTTTGATATTCACTCGGGTTTGGGCCTGGGCCTGATCAACCCGTGTCTCTGATCCAAGGGGTATCACAATTATATCTCAAATTCCCATTATTATTAGTTTCTATTTTAGAGTGTATTTTTTATGGTAATTTCTTATTGAGACGTGAATTGAGTTCTAAGAAATTGTAATCCTTCTCCACAAAGGAATTGGGTATGTGACTCTATAGATAGACACTTAGGCTATTGTTGAGAGTTGTGAGTTGAGAAAGATGCAGCCTCATGAGGGAGTACGTTGATAGTAGGGGTGAGTTACAAGTTTGGTAAAGTGAACACTGATGGCGAGAGGGAGCCTAGTGGAGTATACAGAGAACTTGGTCAAGAGTTTGTGTGCATGGTCCGATGTTGATATTCTTTACTATTGTAATATCTCTACATATAGTGAATTTATCCTCATCCGTGGATGTAACCCTGATTTTGGGTGAACCACATATATATCTTGTGTTGTGGTTTAAATTGTTGTTTTATTTCTTTCTTTTGCTTCCGCTATGCCCCAACAACTGATATTAGAGCCAAAGGTGAAAGAGATCCCACTACAATAGTTCTGGCTTTTATCAGCGCTCAAAAGCGCTGGTAAAAGTCTTTAAAAGCGCTGGTAATTCTTTCTGAAAAAACGCTAGTAAAAGGACTTTACCAGCGCTTTCTGGCAAAAGCGCTGGTAGAGTGTATTTACCAACACTTTTTGATAAAGCATTGATAAAGGGTAATTTTAATTTTTTTTAAATTTTTTTTTTTACTCCCTCCCTATGCCAGCACTTCTCAAAAGAGCGCTAGTAAAGGGGTTTTTTGTTTTTTTTTTTTTTCCTTATAGTTTTTAGAAAAAAAATATCAATACAACTACCAACTACTAATTGTCATCCAATATAACACAAGTTAAAAATACCACCCAAATTATTTTTACATAATATAACCACAAGTTAACCCTGCTAATATGAAAATTACCATCGAAATTGGCTACTAATACAACCACAAGTTAAGCTGGTAAATGTCAACCAAAAAGCTAAAATATATACTAATACAACCACAAGTTAACCTGCCAATATACCATCCAAATTGTCTAAATAAAGCTACTAAATGTCAGACAAAAAGAATTAAGAATTTTTTACAAACGTAGTACAAGTTTTTCAAAAAGAACCCAACCAAGGCAAAGGAAATTCAGAAAGCACAGCCACAACCCCATCTTCAACTTCAACAAGTCTTCTTGCCCATTTGATTTAAATTACCCTACATTTTTTATAAATTCATTGCAGACACATTATAATAAATGAAAATTTAACTTATATATAAGAGAAATTAAAAGTTTATAACCTTAACTGAATTGGCATCATGACTAGAAAATGAATTTAGGAATACTCTAAGAGGAGCATTTAAAGAATCAAAACCCTTCAAAATAAGAAAACAAAATGCATAAAATCTTGGCATAAGTAAACATATATTTAGTAAAGAGTAAAACTAATAATAAATATACTTGTCCACTACAATTTTGTTGTTGCATCTGCATTAGCATAGCCACATGTTGTTGTAAATTTTCCAACTTGTCATCATAGTTGGCTCGTAAATTTTCCAACTTGTTGTCATAGTCGATTTGCATTTTTTAAATGGTCTCTTGCAACTCTACACGTACAGCACGTGCCTCATCATCAGATTTTTTCGCATTATAAATCAATTCAGCTTTACTAGGAGAGGCCCCCAAACATCGCTTGGTGTAGGCCCGAAGCCAAGCATCCGCACACGACCAGTTCTCTCTTCTCTCCTCACAATGGAGAACAAATCATTGGAACTGCCAATAGGCGAGTCAGAGTAACTTTTTTGAAGTTCTTTTATGTTTTTCTGCCCAAAAAAAAAAAGTTTGAACTACCATGACATACTGCTATGAAACATCCAGGCAAATCTAATAAAATGAATGATAGATCAGGAATCCAGAAACTGTTATACATATAATTACTATTATGGACTTTAAATAATATACTTGCCATTGCATTTGAAAACATAAAAGTGGAAATGAGGATTTTGAATTAGAGAAATATGATTTTTTACTTTACCCCAATTCATCTTCAAAACACCAATTCCATAGTATTAAAATTTGAAATATGTTTATTCTTAATGAAAAGACAGTTGTATATCAGCGAACAACGAAACTACCCATGGAACACATTAAATTGAAGAATTCAGGGCGATTTTCTTGGCCACACCCAGAGCATTTGTTCCTAATTTATTTATTTATTTATTTTTTGTAATGCAACATTCTTAGACAATATTCTTGTATCCAAACGTATCTAATAGTTTACTTTAAAACATTTGTAACATAAAAATCTAAAAAGTAGAACATTATGAAGGAGAGAAAATAGGAAAGAAAGGGAAGGAAATAATCAAAGTAATTTGTGCAGTAACAGTTGCAATGGAGAGGCCGAAGTGCCATCAACAAACTGATTAAGTAGTGCAATCCTAATTGAGTTGTAAATTCTTGTATATTCAGCCCTACTTAAACTCCATTTCTTTGCAGCTAAATTTAGAATAATAATAATAATAATAATAGTAAATTGCAGAAGAATTGAACTGGCTGTCAAAAAATTCCAGGTTCTAAGCTATTTTCATGGAGCATGAAGCCAAGAAAAAAATATTAATACAATTTTAAACGTATATTGGAATACATCTAATCCCAAATTAGGAATGATACAATATTCTTCTTCCATTTATTATGGAGAAGTAGGCAAGCATTCTAATGCCGAATTGTCATTCGGCCAAATAGGTCATGCTAATTTTTGCTTCTAACCATGAACATTTATCTGCTCACAAAACATGTATAAAGAGAAGAGAGGGAAATTTGAAAAACAAAAGGACATGCAGGTTTTGATTTCAATGAGGGAACATCGGGATGGCTGCTCACTTTACCAGCGCTGGTAGTGTTGTCTTCCAAAGGCACCATCATTTTTCTCTCTCGCCGTATGAATTAAAGTAAAACACAATCTTCTAAACATAATTTGCTCACAAAAAGAGTCTTACTTTTAGGCTCTGTTTGTTTATTTGAATGTAAAATATTTTTTTAAAATTATTTTTTTTATTTTTTGGGGCTTACAAAAAAAAAAAAAAAAAAAAAAAGAAAAAAAAAAACATCAAATTTGGTTGCTATTAAGTGAAGTTCATTAGGATAGGTAACAATTTCCCTTTGGTTTTTTGCACTATCAATGAGCAAGTTACATTGTTATGTGCTGGCCATTCTGAAATACAACTATATATGTGTATATCATACTTTTACAATGATTGAAAATGCAAGGATGACCAAAAACTATACATGTGTATATCATACTTATAATTTTATATGTGTATATCATACTTTTACCATGATTCAAAAGACCATTGCACTGGTACGAGTAAGAAATTAACACAAACAACAAACAACAAATAGCAAATACTTCTCCACAACACAAATCAATCAACAAGAAGCCTCCACATACAATGATCCCATACTCCCATGCTTTTCAACAAATACAAGAAAGTAAATTGCCTCCACACGGACCGATGATAAACAATGAAATTAAAATGCCTCCACACAGGCTGATGATTGAAAAATTGGTCACTTCAAGGCATGTGACCCCCTAATACACTACAAAAAGTTTAAAAATTGGTCACTTCAAGGCACGTGATCCCCTTTTTGCAAAATGGAAGCATGAAAACTTACAATCATCTCCGAAGCAGCAGCATCAGTAGCTTTGCCATCCTTATTTATATGTGTGCGAATGAATAAATCTGCACGAGAACACTGAATACCTTCGTCTTCCTCAATCTATAAAAGAAATAAAGACATTATGATATATATTATTATTTACCACTAACATTTATAATCATTCAACGACATAAGAACTGAAATAATTTATATTGCCAAAACTTCAACTAACCTCGGCAGAGACACGTGCAAAGCTTTTTGTCCCTGTAGTATGCATCATTGTCTGCTTCCCACGACGTTCTTTGTTTTTTTCACTGACCCCCTACAAAAAGTGAGAAAAAATAAACGTTCTAACATTCCACCTAAAATAATGACTGAAAGCTAGTAAACTATAAATTAAACTCATTGACTTTAAACAAAATTGGTAGATGGAGGATTACCTTCGCCATATGCATACCCCAATGCCTAACCAAAAATTCCCAATGCTCCTTTTCAACCTCGGGTGGTAGGTTTGCCAATCTTTCTGCATCTGTATCCCTAACCGAGTAATATTCACTTTTTAATTCACACTTGTACCCCCTCCATTTTTTTCCGATGAAGGATATTGTCCAATGTTTTGACATGATTCTCACATCATACTTTCCCTGAAAATGTGATAATTGCTGCATGTTAATCCACTTTTTCCATAAAAATTATTTTAATATCATTGAAGGGTTTTACCTTTACAACGTTCCACATATCCTCCTTCAGCCGTTTAGGCATCTCCCACTAAGTTTTGTAGCACAAAGGAGCTAAATTAGCATTCTGGGCAAGTGTTCCCAAATAATTAGTATATGTACCACTTCCAGGGCCGATCAGCTGTCCAAACTTATTAATCCTAAACAAAAATTAACAATTGTAAATGTTTAGTACAAAACTAAAGATAGAAATCCTTTTTTCTCCTTCATATTGAATATAGTCTAATTATGTAAACTATATAAGATGATCTCTATATCTTAACGGTAATAAAGTTGTCATGCTTACGACATTCTTGCATTGTGTCGGGCCCTGTCTCTTCTTCGGCGGTGGTTGGGATGATTTTAAAGTTGAAGTTTCGGTATCTTGTTCACTCACTTTTTCCACTTCACTAATCGTTCATTTCATTGTCAGCTTATTATTTATCCTTCCTGGAAAAGAAAACAAAAAAGTGAGAATTCATTTAAGAGAATGCAATCAAATTGTTTAAAGAAGGCAGTGCACAATCCAGGAAAAATCAATAAAAAGAAATAAAAAATATCTCAAAACTTTAGGGTATTTTTGGTTGTCCAATGGAAATTATATAAAACCATTCTGTTTTGGTAAAAAATTAAAAAGTAGGAAAAGCAATCATCAATACCTTCAAAGAATATTAGCTAATCAAATGCGAGTTATCCCCTTCTTGATTGCTAATGCAAAGGAAACCGAGACAAAGGCTGAATTATAGTGGTCACACTGTCAGCAATAGCAAGAACATAGCAAGCTTAGTGTCTTGTAGCATACAAAAACATAATTTTTTGTTCAAGTGGAAGGCAAACAAGAGAACAAAATTGTATTTGACAAAAAAAGAAACCGAATATTATATGAAAACACAAATCTGACCAAGTAATTATTTACATATGCCCAAACACCCATATGCACATGTGAATATTGATTATTAAAAAAAATATATTGTTTTTCATTAAAATGCAACACAACGCAGCAGTAAGAAAATTGAATAAATTGGCTATATTATCTATTGAAAAGGATATATAAGAAAAAGTTGAATGCAAAAAAATTGGTTAAAAAAGTAATAGAAATGTAACCTTAAAATATATCTAGATGTTGGGATTAGTAGAGGCCAAAATTAGACCTTGTCTATCAGTCAAGAGTGCCTAAATGCTTCGTCATGCATTCAGAAATAAAGTATAAAACTTCGATCCAAGAACCCCATAAGAAGCTGTTCAAATTATGCTTTCACCATATCAACTCTTCTCAACCAGGTACCATCACCTTTAGTGCAGGATCTAGAAAACCCAGTGGAATAGCCAATACGAGTGACATTCAAAGCAGCTCAGCATACTTCATATATTCTCAGCTTTAGTCAATTTACGAAGCTATGATTTTCGCACCTAGAGCCAGTCTCTCAACTTAGTTCCAATCATCAATTACCTTCCTAATCTGCCACCTTAATTTCACAAATAAAACAACTAGATGTATCTAGAGAACTAAATTTCGCCCACGGATCAAGTCCCAATTTCTTATTAGCATTAACTGCTAAGAGCGAACAGATTCAGAAAATCAGTATAGATTATTGTGTACACAACTTGCGCAATCTCATATGAATAAGCTAAATATCTCTCTCTCTCTCACACACACACACACAATGGCTGAAGGTGGTTTAATGTTTCATTGTGCATTCGTGTGCTAAAGAAATGATTCTTCTTTCATGTGTTATACAATTGAAAGAAAGAGCTAATTAGCTCTCTCTCTCTCTCTCTCTCTCTCACACACACACACACACACGTTTAATGTGTCATTGTGCATTCACGTGCTAAAGATATGACACCAAAGTGATTTTTTTTTTTTTTTTTTTTTTTTTTAAACTTTCTAAAGAACCTTAAGTATTTTTTTCTCTCAATATATATACATCATTTCCATGCAATTTTACATTAACCTCTCCTTTGTTTGCTAGTGTATTGAGCTAATGGTTAAACTCTCTCTCTCTCTCTCTGTGATTTAACAGGATCAGCAAAAGCTTAGGAAGACAGTCTCTAATGTTTCCTTTCAAGTAGATAGAATTGGGAAGGACTTTGAAAACTTTGCTACAATTGATGAAGTTAAGCATGTAGAATGTGAATGCTGTGGCCTCAAAGAGGATTGCACTCCAAACTACATCATAAAAGTGAAGGCAACTCACTTTGACAACTGGGTTTGCGGCCTTTGTTCCGAAGCTGTAAAAGAGAGGCTGAACGAAAAGCCGAGAACAGCCATGGAAGAGGCTCTAAGCACTCACAAGAAATTTTGTCAAGAGTTCAACAGTACCAGGCTCAACCCAAAACTCTCATTGACATGTGCAATGAGAAATATAGCAAAAAAAAGCTGCGAGAAGAGAATTTCTAAGCACCAATTGTCATCAAAGATTACGAAATCTATGTAACAAATCAGATTGCTTATTTACTAAATTATTTCTTAATTTAGCATTTTACTTCATCCTCATAAGGCTCTTACTGTTCAATAATCAGCAACTCAATAACAAATTGATAAATTTATATGGATATAATATGAATTAGAAGAAAATAAAGGACCCTCATACCTTTTCGAACCCTAATTTCAGATATCAATAACAACATATCTAGCATTTCTTGTGTTACAAACCCTAGGTTCTAATTTTCTGTTTCTTTTATTAAAGAACAAGAAAAGCAAACATGTATACTGTATATGTGTGTGTGTGTGTGTATCTATATAATATAGAGAGAAAGGGGGGTACTTACCACCAAGAGAGAGAAGATGAGTAGGATCCGTGAGCGGAAGAGAGAGAATCTAAATTTGAGGTACTCTAAATTGTAGGTGGAAAGAAGGGGAGGATGATGGTGGTGGTGGTAGAGAGAGAGAGGGTTGAGAGCCTACGATGAGCTGAAGAAGTGCTTCAGCTGAGATAGAGATCGAGATAGAACAGAGATCAAGATAGAGCGGAGAGGCAGAGAAGGCTGAGGGACGAACCAAAAGGGGAGACGGATGAATGGGAAAGTGGGTGTTAATGGACCCAAAAAAAACGACACAGTTTAGGCACCAAATATTCTGTATAGATAAATAAGGGAGGGAAAAAGTGGGGGGAAGAGAAAAATTGGAGGGAAGGGGGAAAAAAGGGAGGGAATGGAAGGCCATTTACTAGTGGTCTTTTAAATAGCGCTGGTACTATTCCGAGCTCTATACCAGCTCTTAAAGTACTGGTAGAATTACACTTATTCCAGCGCACCCAAAAAGAGGCGTTGGTACTGTAATCAACATGTGCTACAACGGGTTTCAGCGGTAGGTGGGGTCAATCGGCTTGGTTACATGACATGGAGCTTGAGTAGTCAAGATAGAGCCTTGGGGTTTGACTAATTGAGTAACGTATAGTGGGGATAATCCAAGTTTTGCAATAAGATTGAGAAGATTGAAGTTGTAGAGAATTGTCCTGATTCAATTGTCATGAGAAACGATGATTGACGTAATGAAATTTGAGTCAATATGGAGATTGTTATAAATTATGTCTCAAGTTCCCATTATTATTAGTTTCTATTTAAAGTGTATTTTTATGGTAATTTCTTATTGAGACATGAATTGGACTCTAAAAAATTGTAATCCTTGCCCACCAAGGAATTGGGTATGTGACTCTATAAATAGACACTTAGGCTATTGTTGAGAGTTATGAGTTGAGAGAGATGTAGCCTCATGAGGGAGTACGACTGATGACGAGAAAGAGTCTCGTGGAGTACACGGAGAACTCGATCAAGAGTTTGTGTGCATAGTCTGATGTTGAAATTCTCTACTATTGTAATATCTTTACATATATAATGAATCTCTTCTCATCCGTGAATGTAACCCTGATTTTGGGTGAACCACGTATATATCTTGTATTGTAGTTTGAATTATTGTTTTTCATTCTTTCTTTTGCTTCCACTGTGCCCCAACATTATGTTTATGGCTTATGTTTGTATGGTGTTTCTCTTGTCTTTGGGGCTCCTTGTACATTATATTCAATCTATACACAAGCTTTCCTTTAAAAATAAATAAAAAAAATAAAAAATAAAAACACTCCTAAATCACTATTGGTTGGATGGATCTTGTCTTGGATGACTACGTAAGGTTGTATAGTAGTATTTCCATTCATTCCAAATAGGGAAAATGTGGGCCATCGCTTTAAAGATAAAAGATGGCAAGTCCTAATAGGACTCACTTCTTTCCTTTTAAAATAGAAAACTCAACATGGTAGGATTGTACTGGCCCATTTGTCTTTGATTTCTTACACAGCTTTAATACCTTAAATGAATGATCAGAGTTGTGATCCAGTGTGGCAAGTTCTATTGGAACTCGCCACATACTTCCTCTTTATTGGTGGATCGCATACAATCTATTTTCAACAATTCCACATCATATCTTCATCTTTTGGACATTTAAAGTATCAATCCAATGTGGCAAACTCATTGGAACTTACCACATGTCGCCTCTCCATTGGGCCAAAAATAATGGGATAAATGTTTTTCACGTACTTTTTTCTTTCTTTCTTTCCAAATACATAGGGGCACTTTAGTTTTTTAATTGAAGCCCTTATTTGCACAAAAAATTAAAGATTATGTACTTTTAAGAACTTATAGGTATATACCCTATTTGCATACCATAGGTGTGTATCACTGGCAACTCTATTTTAGATAGTGTTGCATTATTCAATTTGTTTAACTTTGCTTTGAAGGACCCATGTAAATATATATGTAGATCACACACACACATATAAAATAATTTTAAAAATAAAAAATAAAATAAAATTACCATGAAAAAGAGGAGGGATATTTTGATGGGGCCGTTCTCAAGTAGCCATTCCCTAAATGGCTTATAGCTTCAGCCGGCCATGCATTTATGTTGTGTTTACGGAAAGAAGACAAACTTAACATTTGATATTGTTACGTTGTTGTACAAACCTGACCTTGCATACTTGTGCTTGTTATTTTAGGTTTTCACAGTTGTATTTAGACCTGCGAGAACACACCGTCTCATTCTAGGTAAAGGTGCATCCTAAGAAATATATAACGAAGGAATTAAAAAGATAATTTCAACTTAAATGTTATTCCATGCGATATAGTTATTTATTGACACCTTGTTATGAGTGCATGAGCTAGCTAGCGAAACATGTAAATATGTAGTCACATGCTGTATTAAAGTAGTCAACGTAAAGAGGATAAACGAAACATGTAATCACATGCTGTATTAAAGTAGTCAACGTAAGGATAAAGAAACCAGCGTTGACAAATCATATTAAGCATTGATTAATTATCTAGGAAAATTGTAGTAAGGAAATGTGAATGTCTAAGATCTCATTCATTATTATATATATATTATTAGGTAAAACCATAAACTATCATCATCAAATTTGTAATCTTTTATGAAATCATGACGTCCAAATATGACGCATGGAGAATAAAACTAAGTCAACCTTGACCTGCACGATGGGGCAATATATAAAGTATGAAGTATAAAACAATGTCAACCTTGGCCTGCATTAATTTCTGAAGTCAAGGGAAAATATTAGTATAAACTAATTAAATAACAAAACCCATATGGGCAACCGCAATTTTTGTGCTAACAAAATGATTTTAATTTTTTATTTTTTAATTTCTGAAGTCAAGGGAAAATATTAGTATAAACTAATTAAATAACAAAACCCATATGGGCAACCGCAATTTTTGTGCTAACAAAATGATTTTAATTTGTTTTTTTTTAAAAAAAAAAAAAAAAAAAAAAAAAAAAGCACAAAACTGACAATTTGAATCAAATATTTACAAGATTTTATCAAAAGACCAAAACTAATTAGAAAACTAACACTTGTACATTGCATTGACAAGGGTTCAAGAACGTGTCTTTTGGCCTACGAATATAGGACAAGTGAAGACTTAAATGTGTTAGTTTTGTAATTAATTCGAGTCTTTTTTATAAATATTTTGTAAAAGATGCTAGTTTTGTAATATTGCCGGGGAAAGTTGTTGAACTTGCAATTTACCCTTAAAAAAATCATTCCATGCAACCATTATGTTTTGTTTGTTCATAGATGAAAAGTTGTAGCTTGCGTTCTTATATGCATCTGAGTCATGTTAGATATATATATATATATATATATAGTATTATATTTGTTCATAGTAATCATTTCATTGACCTAAATGTGGTTATATAAGGAGTATGAGTGCGAAAGATGAGCTGTAGAAGCATTGCAGCTCTCATAATAGTTGAAAGCTTTTTTGTGCTTTTGGGATTTGGAAGTAATGGAGCAAGGGCAGCCAGGGTATGTAATGGAACGAATTCGAATATTAAATGAAAATGGTAAGTGTTTTTTCTTGCTTTGCCATTTTAAGTTTCCTTTTTCTTTACCTTGTTCCAAAATACTTGTTTACCTCTCTTAATCATGGTACACGTACCATGGATGCACCATTATTACTACAACATAGCTTCATTTGGCATATGTAATGAATCAATATAAGTTTCTTTCTTTCTTTAATGGTCATCTAATTTTAACTTTTGTGCACTCATTGTACCAAGCATCTGAGTTGTTTTTTCTTGCTTGCCATTTTAAGTTTCCTTCTTTATTAATTTACTGGTCATCTAAATTTCATTTATAAATGCAGCAGCATGTGTTTATCTCTCTTGAAAACTTCCAAATAGAGCTCTGCAGGCAACTCATGCAAAATCTTGGAAATGAAACTTCGAATTTAGTGAAACAATAATAATGATTTCATTACAATGATATATATATTTTTGGTAGTTAAAAGCAAAGATACAAACAAATTATCCACAATATGTTCTTAGTGGGATCCAAACTTTTTAAAAAAAGGTATTTACTCTATATTGTTTTTTTTTTTGTTAATTATTTTTATTTTTTAAATCTCATTATAATTGTTTAACTACAATAACAAAATTAAACAAGTGAAAGAAAAAAAAAAAAAGAACAAGGTGAAGAAAATGAAAAAAAAAAAAAAAAAAAAGAAGATAACTTTGAAGCTAAAAAACAAAGACTTTGATTAATAAAGAGAATGCAAAAAAATTTGAAGACAATAAAAATAAATAAATAAGAAACTTTGTGACATTTTTTTTTAAAAAAAAAAAAAAAAAAAAAAAAAACTAATAATTTTCGGGGGGTCATGTTATAAATTTTTATAAATTCTATCCTAAGTATAAAAAAATTAATGGAGCCCCCATGGAGATTGGTGCTGTTTGTGAGGGTATGCCTTCTTCTCCTCTTGTACTATAAAATTGGTACTTGTGCAGATGAAAAGACCAGGAAAGGAGCAGCACTTCCAAAAAAACAAGAAAGTGAATATAATCTTGAAGGTAAAAAGTTGAAGCTAGAAAGTCAGAAGATACCAAATGTTGAAGCTAAAAAGTCAGAAGGTATGCAGACTATAATCTTACTCTAGAATCTAGCCATGCTATTCTCTACTATTTCCTATTTACTATCTGATATTCTACAATTCTTGAAAATTTAATTTTCGTTTTCTAGAATATTTTGTTCAGCACATTATAACTTAAAAGGCTGGCAGCTATCACCAACATTACTGAGATTTTTTTCTTTTAAAGAAGTTGCAGACATATAATTAATAGAAAATCGGTACTTGTGTAGTTGAACAGACCATGGAAGAGCTGTACTTTCCACAAAACCAAAAAGTGAAAATAAAGAGATCGGATGTTGAAGCTAAAAAGCCAGAAGGTATGCAGACTATAATCTTACTCTAGAATCTAGTCATGCTATTCTCTACTATTTCCTATTTACTATCTGAAACTCTACAATTATTCTTGAAAAATTAATTTTCTTTTTCTATAATATTTCGTTTAGCACATTATAACTTAAAGGCTGGCAGCTATCACCAACATTACTGAGATTTTTTTTTTAAAGAAGTTAAGACATATAATTAATAGAAAATCGGTACTTATGTAGATGAACAGAATATGGAATACTTTTTTAAAGAAGTAGAATACCTTTTTTTTTTTTTTTTTTTTTTTTTTTAATGTTGGTAG